TTGATCTATTAGCAGAAATAACTACAAGTGAGATTAAATGAAATATTGTTTCTTTAATTTATATCAAGGTATAAGTACCAAACATGAATAGGTAGGCAAATAACATCACTAAGAATCTTGGACATAATAAGCAAATAGATTTAAGTATAGAAAGAGGAGGAGCAGTTGTAGGTGTGGATTGGGCAGATTATATAGAAAAAATGACCTGGCTTTGGCCTATTTTGATTTTAATAGAAGTATGAATAAAAGCCATATAAAGACACTAAAGTCGAGAATAATATATATATATTATCTTTACAGCTAGGGCAAGCTCAAAGTTGCCAAACTTCGAAACCCAGTTTCTTTACAGATCATTAAGGTCGCAAAGTTAGTGTAAGAAGAATTTAAGCCGTCTACCATACCTGGTTTAGTGTTCTTTGTGCTTATTCGTTGACGCTGGCTTCTGGCTCTGACAATGTCTATCATATGATGCGTGAAAGCTTAACATGGATTCATCGGGGTCTCAGGACAGTAAGCCGTGGTCTTTTCGCACAAGTAAGCAATCACAAATCCAAGGAAACCTTACTTAGACATCCAGTGAGGCCATTAAACAAACCTCTTTCAGCAAAACTTTCAAACGAAATGAGGCACATGCAAGTATCAATATACTAGGGTATCCTTCAAAAAGCAGGTTCTATTTATATTAGAAAACAGCAATAACTTATCTACCCTATATTCTAGATAGAGGCTTGATGATGGGACTGGATAAGCTGCCTGAACCCTCATTTAAATACCTATATAAAAATAATTTTACATCGATATTTGAAAGCTTTTTCCTGGCTTACTTTATGATATACTGAAAAATTCAATCCTGAAGCATACTTACTTTATTAGCAAGTGGATTAAAAGAAAACATATATCGCTATTTGCTAATTAAAAGCGGTTATTACAGTATTTTGCAGGGCAACATTTTACGGCTTATTCGAGCTGGCCCTCAACTTTGAATAATCATCAGTAAATATTATTTTCTATTGGTTACTTAAGAAACTACAAACAAACTTTGCAGGCAGATAAAAATATTTATAGTTTATCTATTTCTTTTTAAGCTCATTTGTGTAAGGCTGCGCTCAATGCTAATGTCTGCTACCCAAAATCAAAGACTACCATGTTCACAATCACCAATTGAGGTGAAGATAGCTACCTGATTTGGTTGTATTTCTCTAAAGGTGTTGTAAAGACTGACATTGAAAAACCAAAATTAAATAGAGGGCTTACTATTATCATGTTTGAAAATTTGTTACAAGTCATATACTCACTTTCGTTAATATTTATGGTCTATTTCTGAAAATAGTTAAACTTTCATTACTCTCTTCTATAGTTGCTTTATCACCATTTCCTTCGTTATTTAAATACTACTCGACTTCTATTAATGATGTTAATTCAAATCTTAGGCCAATTTCATTAATCATTAATCATTACTCTGAAAAGATTCATAAAGAATAATAGGCAAAAAAATTCATGGATGAGTATCAAAAAGGTTAGATTTGCTCAATTATATACACTTTATAAGAAAATATCTTACTCATTCAGTATATTAGCTCCTATTTTTCAGAAATCGCAGTACGTCGGGGTTTACGAGGGACCTTGAATGTATTATAGATTAGTAAAAAGGGCCAGAAGTTGTAAGGGATTCATTACACTTGCTATAGCTCAATCTTCTATATTTATTTCATAAGCTTTAATTTTATTTTCTCCAAGCCAAGTTGCATTACTTCTCTTATGCTAAATCAATCACTTTGGCATTTAATTTTACCATGTTTGTCAGTATACAACTAAAATGAGTTAATTTTTAACCAATCTGTGGAATTAAATGTTATCATAGCCGTGCTTCCTAGGGATGAAAAAATTAGATGGCTTAAATCAGACGCTTAGCATGGAGGAATCGGTAAAGATGAAGAAATATTCTAAAAGCACAATGAGAGATGCTTACTGGCAAGAAAGTTTATTATAACAAGCTATAAAGTTAAATAAAATTCAAAAGGAATTAAAGTGACTTAGAATCTAAGGATCTTTAAGGTAAGTAAACTGCACATTTAAATATTCTAGGGTGAAGAGGAGCGCTTGCCTTATGAGGAGGAATAAAAATGGCATCATGTGCTTAGCTAGTGTAAGGGAATTAACTAAGCCAATAAGTAAGTTCTACAACATATGATTATACATTTAGACATGACATGAATTGGATACCATGATTTAGGCTATTCTAATTTATAATTTTAGGGGGACCTTCATTACGTATGAAAGTGCATGAAGAAGATCCGGACGGATGAATCTCGTTGTACTGCAGCCGTTAGGATTTTATACGATATTCATGTAGACGCAGTTCACGAGACTTCTTCCCTCGTTTAGGCTGAAAACGTACAAAACGAAGGTCCCCCCAACAATGATATCTAAGGCGGTTCATCGAAAGCAAGTTTCTCTTCGTATCTAAAATTTATAATGATTTTTAATAATAATAATACTATTAATACTCTTAATAAATATTGATATATCCTCAACAAAATAATTAGTGAAATCGTTGCAAAAGGTGAGGCTTTTTGTCATATAAGAACTAAAACTAATTTGTATTAATTTTTTATATGAATCGCTAACCTAGCTCAAGGTCAAATTTAGTAATCGCTCCAGCTACGTTTGCCGTGATATTCTCTTACTATGGAAGCAAAAATTAAAGTTAACATTACGATGAAAATTAAGTAAAATGTTTTAACAAAAATGACGTACGCATCATCTTGGCTTCCTCTTGTGAGGGCTTCAGCTGTTGCTTGGGCTCCATTAGTTAAAAACAAGCTTCCCAACCTCTCATTCAAGGAAAACCGTGGGCTGACGGATGATAAAAAAGTTGTTATTAATGTGAGCGGGCAAAAATTTGAAACATGGAAATCTACTTTAGAAAGATTTCCGGACACACTGTTGGGTTCTGAAGAAAGAAAATATTTTAAAGAGTCTTCTGGTTCTGAGTATTTTTTTGATCGGGATCCTGAACTATTTCGCTATATTTTGGCCTATTACAGAACCGGAAAACTTCATTTTCCAAAAAATGAATGTGTTTCAACCTATGATGACGAGTTGTCTTTCTTTGGAATTATGCCAGATATTATGGGCGATTGCTGTTATGAGGAATATCGTGATAGAAAAAGAGAGAATGCTGAGCGCCTTATTGAAGACAAAGAAGATAAGGAAGAGCAAGAACTACCAGATACAAATATCAGGGAGAATTTATGGCGGGCATTTGAAAATCCACAAACTTCAACTCTCTCTGTTGTGCTCTACTATGTAACTGGTTTTTTCATAGCTATATCTGTTTTGGCTAACCTAGCAGAAACTGTGCCATGTGGTCTTATTCTTGAAACAGGAAAAAATCCTACGTGTGGTGATCGTTTTGAAGACGCATTCTTTTGCTTAGATACTGGATGTGTAATAATCTTCACACTAGAATATATTGCTCGATTGTATGCAGCACCAGACAGATGCAAACTTTCAAGATCCGTTATGTCTGTGATTGATGTCGTCGCTGTTCTGCCTTATTACATTGGACTTTTTATGCCTGACAACAAAAATCTTTCTGGTGCTTTCACGACTCTAAGAGTATTTAGGGTATTCAGGATATTTAAATTCTCTCGTCATAGTCAAGGCCTACGCATTCTTGGATACACTCTTAAATCATGTGCTTCAGAACTTGGCTTTCTATTATTTAGCATTACCATGGCGGTAATAATATTTGCAACAATAATGTATTACGCTGAAAAATCCGACGATTCTCAATTTACAAGCATTCCTGCCGCTTTCTGGTATACAATTGTGACAATGACTACTTTAGGGTAAGTAGAAATTCATAATTAGCTATTTATTTTGGAGCAACTACTTTATTTTATGCAAAACATAGGGGCAAGGTATAGTTATTGACTTTATATATAATCTTTAAGGTATTAATTTAAGATAGATTGCAGTATATTCAAATTGTTTATTAACTATTGATAATATTTAGTTAGTTTTTAATTACATATGAATATTAACTGTATATCAGACTTTTATATTATGTTAAAAAGTCTCCTGTCAAAAAACACATATTTTATGAAAGCAGGGTCTTTCAATTATTTCTTTGTGATATCTATCATTTTTTTGAGCGGACTTAATATTCGTCTTTCAGAGGTGGTGTATCTATAGCTCTGAATAATTATACTTTTCATATACAAGTATTAATAATATAAAAACCTACTGAAAAAATTATAAAATTTTTAATCTCCTTAATTAGGTTAGACTCAGTCATTCAAATTTAGCAGTTTACACATTTTGCCGATACCTCTTATTTACTCGACTGCTTATTATGAGTAGGTGATTCGAAATTAGCTACCCATTTTTAACTTATAAAAATAGCTAGAATGACAATAACATAAAAATACTATCAGCCTTTATTAATTCTCGGTAAGAAATATGAATATTCACGATGGGCTGATTAAACGAATTGAAAGTGATAGCATATTAATCGATATTCATTGTTAGCCATGAATATACAACACTTAAAAGTGACCACATTACTCAAGTTTTATCTTCAGATGTATCGAAATTGGTATCTGCAAGATCATCTTTTGATCGTGTTAGGGAAATATGAATGAACATGTTAAATTACCCATTTTCAAGCGTCTTGGTATAAAAGGGCTATTATTAACAATTAATTCAGAAGTGTAGCTCGTTTTTTTAAAATAAAAAATTGTATCTTACTTGATAAGAAAAATATTTTTTCAGGTATATATATCTAAATGAACGCATCTTGCCCTGAGTCTGCTATAGTATCCATGTAAAGTTCCAGCGTCGGACTGTGGACTTGATATATTCCTAGACGTTGTGCCGGCATCGTCAATGAGCCTTGCCATTCTTAACCACACACTCGTTAAGGAGATAAAGAAAATCCATCCTTTGATCAAATATCTATTAAACATTTGTGCTATCTCTTGTCCTAAACCCATCCAATAGCATCGAATCGCCCCCTTCACTACCACAAATTTCTAATTTGTTTATTTAACTCCAGTCCAAGTGTGCCTTTTTAACGGATTCAGTGACGCTGGTTTCCTCATTACTACTTGTGCGGGAAATATAAATACAATCTGACCCTTTTAGCATTCAATC